GGTACTTGGCTAAGTATGGGAGTAACGGTGGTTCTTTGACCATTAGAGTAATTCTTCATTTGGTCAATGAGTTTGGTTGATTTTGACTCATTACAAATGAGTGAGTTCTTTTATGGTGAGCTTGGAATGCATAAGAGATAATTTTGCTGAGTTGTTCTTGATTCTTGACGAAAAATGATAGCAATGTGAAAAATAAAATTTTCTTTTGGATAACATTTACTATCAAGATAGGTGTGAAGAGAAAAATCCTATTTGATTGATATAAAGAAGAATCAAGCCTAGGGGTATCCAAATTAGTGTTATTCATGGAGACTTGTCGGTATAACTTAAGGATGTGATGTTTGACTTGGTTGAGGAGTTTGGCTAATTCTCTTCATTTACAGATTTGAGTGAAAATTTTCGCAAGGTCAGGTTTATACTCTAAGAAGATAACTTTTTAGATTTGCTTTTGATTCTTGAAGACGAGTGGTAGTAAGATGTCACAAAGAGTTTCACTTCGGGAAGACTTATGGAGATTGAACTATCTTATAGTTAGGCATTTATAGAAAATTTGACAGTTATGAAGTAAAAAGGTAACAATATGGATTATTTCCATAGGATTGGTGGATGAATTTGAGTATGTAGATGAAAAGTCTGATTTGTTCATAAGTTTTTGTTGTATCAATCATCAGTGAAGTCATAGTCTTGATTAATAGCAAGTTGGCACAGTATAGTTTTTGATTAGGTGCTAGTGAAGAAAGTCATACTTATGAATAAAGTATGGAAACTTAGAATTTTCAGATATTATTGTTGGAGCACCGAGAAATAAAAAATTTTAAGATACGTCGTTCTATCTTAAAGTGATGGTTTTGTGGGTACATTTGGAAAAGTGATATTTCAAGAGTAAAAGAGCGATTTAATGGCCGATCATTGATTATCGAATGGTTAGAGAATTTTGAGACTACTGGAATTTTATTTCAGAGATATTCATAGTAATTGGAGGAAAATAATACGTTGATTCTTACTAGTATAAAATGAATATAATTTTCTTTTGAAAATATTTGAGTAATTGCGATAGGTGTTAAATTATCAGATTATAGAATAACTTTTTAATTGGTTGGGTCATAAGGTTTGAATAGACAAGCAATGGAGCAAATTTCAGAGTCTATTGTAATTGGTTATCTTTAGAGATTAATGTATTGATTTGACTTAATGATTCGATTAATGTAACCAATATTTGGATCCTCTAAGGTGACTACGGTAACTTAGGATGATATTGGTGATTTTGGTTATTTTTGAATTCTTAGCTTTGTAAAAAGAATAAGTCTTGTGGTAATGTCAAATGTTAGGGTGGAGGTCCTGAGTCTCTATAGTTGATCTTTTAAACCCGCTTTAAGTAATGATAATTAATCAATCCTGGAGAAATAGATATTAAATTAGCTCACATAGCTACAATTGCATAAATATTAATATTTTGACAACGTGCACATCAAAAGTTGCAAAGATGGACACTTAATTTCAGTAAGAGGAGAAATGATATTCCGAATTTTGAAGAATAAAGTATTTTTAAAGAAGAGAGATTTTGGGTATGATTGATCATTGTGAAAGTTGCCTGGGAGAGAGTGATGAGTCAAGTTTTATACATAAATGAGTTGGTAAAGGAAGAGAACAATTTTAATGGGAGACAATCGAAGAAAGAGATATACGAGATGGTAGATGCTGGTGGTTTTAAGTTCGCAACATGTAATGGTTAATTATCAATTTCTTCTTCTTCATCAGATAGGTTTGCTTTTCTGAGGTGCACAAGAATTATTAGGTTACTCATGGATGAGTTTGATGTGCGAGGCTTAGGGTAGACAATAAAATAATGGATTGGAAGCCATGAGTTATTCTGTGATATGGCGAGGTGCTTCATCTTAACGATATATTCTAAAGGTAATAAGTGGGGACTAGTAACACTATCGTGAGAGTTTGGGAAAGAGAGAATATAAAAATGATTTAGAACATATTGTGAACCTTAGTTCTAGACATCCTTGACATGTAATGTTGCTTCCAAAAGGTGTTATCATTAACGTGGTCAAATTCATTCTACTTCGGTTTCTGCGAGGTTGCCTTGGGTTTTATGGAGTAATCGTTTAACCTCGGAAACTACCCATGCCTTAATTCTTTAATGTGTGAAATCTTGAATGGGCACTATTTTTAATTAAGTTTTGGTTCTATAATGTTAATCTTAAGAGTTTGGTGGAGTGAAGGCTTAGATAGCTTATCGAAATCAACAATGAAACTTGACAAGATTGCGGAACTGGATGGTTTTACTTTGAGTTTGATCGGCTAGTTATGGAATGAGAAATGATAATAATTTGGTTATTGGATTTTACAATACTTTGAGAGGTTATTCAATTTAAAGAAAGGTCAAGTCTAGTAGCATTGGATGCTTGAAAGTCCCGAAGAGAGTTGGTGTGGCAGTCTATTGAGAGGCTCTATCACCTCGACTTGCTGCGAGTGTAACATATTCCATGTGTCTATGTTAAGTAAGAATATTTATAGCTCATTGCTCGTGATTTACAATGAACTATTCTATGTTCATAGTGGCTTGACCTAAGAGCAGCAATTATACAGGCTCTGGATAAAAGGCAAATCAATTGGTTAACTGATTACAAAGAATCATGCAGTCGAGGCCATTTTTTTTGCAAAGGGGCAAATGCATCAGGGATACCACACTTATTCGGCTGGGATAACTAGCATAATTTCGAGGGCGAAATTATTTTAAGGAGGGAAGAATGTAACACCCCGTTCTATTTTGGCAAAGAACTAGTTGGAGAATATTATCTTCGAAGGAATAAGAAAATTTTTTAAAAAAAATCTAGAATAGTCTAGAAAAATCGAGAATGCTGAAGAAGTTTCTAAAAAGGTCTAGAACAATCTAGAGAAGTCTAGAATATTTTAGAAGGTTCTAGAAAATACTAAAAGATTATAAAGAGATTTAGAATGCTCCGGAAAGTTCCGTAGAAGGTTGGAGAAGAGTTTAGAATGTTATAGATGAATCTAGATACTTGTGGAATTGCCATGTGCAAAATAAACTTGAAACCTAGAATGATCTAGGAGAGGGGATATGGTAGAATATTCTAAGAAATCTCCCCTAAAAATGTCACATGTCAATATTCTCTAGAATAATCCTAGGATGCCTATAAATTGGGCATTTGAGGATTGGATTAAGAATAAAAGTACACAAGTAGAATGCCTGAAGTATCAATACTTTTAAGAAACACACTTCCTCTAGGACTATATTCACTAAAACATTAGTATTAAAGCGATGTTTCCCATCAGTCCATCCATCAGACATAAGAGTACAACCCGTCTTTCTTCACTTTGTTTTATAATTTTCTATCACCCCACCATTAATCAAAGCTGTTTTTTTTTTTCAAAAAAGAACATCTCATCTCATGATACGATAGCCAAACGATGCAACAGATTTTAACATTCTTACAAAATATGGATCCTTTACCAAATTAAAAGGAAGGTCATTAGCATAAAAACATCTACAAATATCCAAGCATACATCTTCCCTACCTTTTTTCTTCAACATGGTATTCAAAGTAATGGTAGTGGTTTGTTGTATTTTATTAGCAGTACTACCACCCACATTGCTACTACTACTTTTGAAGGTTTCGAATCCACAAGACTCATATCTTTGCTAGAAGCCTTATCATCCAACAATTGCTTAAAAAATTCAGGTACTTCCATGCTTACATAACGCTACATCTTTAAGATTATCTGCCAAATGATTTTTCATTCTTGAAATGCCTCCCCAATAGACATTTGCACAATGAATGCATTTCAATTTCAACCTTGATCTTTCTACTTTTCCACAATGTTCCCATGTGGGATCATTAGCAAGTTTTTTAGTCATTTCTATATGAAAATAGGATGATGATGCCATTGCTTCAAAAAAATTATAACATTAATCAAGATTAAGAAAATTTGATACAAAAAACAAAAAAATATTTGGCTTTGTAAATAAATTAACATCATTTCTTACACTACATAGGACTACAGGTTTCGCTAGATTACCTTGAGAAGGAAGAAGAAGGCAGCTTCAATGGAGACTGGGCTTCGATAGAGGCAGCTTAGATGGAAGAACAAAGAGGCAGTTTCGATGGAAGAACAGAGAGAAGGCTGTTGTGATCGTCGTTGTTGTCGAAGGCTGAAGAACACCTAGGAGTCGAAGACCTGCGAACAATGAAGAAGGAAAATAGGGATTTTATTTTTTTTGTAAACCCTAGCCACTGAAACGACGTCGTTTCAGTGGTTATAGGTATAAAAAAATCAGTCTCTTAGCACAAAAACGACATCGTTCCATCAAAAAAAAAATAAAAATAAAAATAAACAGACTTTGCACGTATCGTGAGTCTCGTACCGATTCATATCGTATTGTAAAAATGTATCGTGTATCGGATGAGACAACGCAAAAACGATACAAAACTATGATCCGTATCGTTTTACCCCTGTATCGTGACGTATCGTATGATATGTATCGCGTATCGTACGATACTAACAACTATGATCAGGAAGTAAAAAATGAACCCACAACATCTCACATGCAATATGAGTTGTAACACTATAATCAGCTTCCAGACTAGAATGTGCAACTACATCCTGTTTAGTACTGCTCCAAGTAAGCACCGCGTTCAATTACTCTTTGCAAGAGTCCACTCATCCATGATCAAAAATATTATAACACGGTCGTATGAGTTATCATATTCCCTCTATCAAGAGCCCACCTTTTTTTCTGCTCCACAAGGGATTCATTGACTAACCGCTTCACCATTCTATTAAGGCAAAGCTAGTGACATGTAACATTTTCCCTCGCAGCTGCATCATTATTGGGTAGAGGCTGGCCCATCCATTACTGTGACTCTTCAAAGTTACGGGTTCTATCATACTCTATTCTATTTCTTTTTACTCTCGAGTTACTGGCTTTCCTTCAAGCAGACTAAGAAGAAGAAGGTAAGGTAGCAGCTATGACTTCTTCCTTCTGGGCTTACTTGCCAAGTCCAATGGCAACAAATTCTGTACCAGCAGACCATATTAAACTGGATGTTCCCTCTCCATTCAGTCGAGCTCCTTCGGACCCTCTTCGACAACTCGAGTATATAGAATTCCCTCTCCTTTCTAGCTTTCTAAACAAGTCAAATCGGTGCGGGAAATACTCCTTAGTTAGTAAATCCTGAAGTTCCTCCCAATGCTCATCTCGTTCTTCTTTAAGAGTCCAATACCGACACACTACACCGCTCGAAGAGTTCAACTAGGATGGTTAGCCGTCGGCTTCGATACCTAGCTGAAACTTGAATTGGCAAAGAAAGAGAAGATGAGGAAGAAGAAGAGAAGAGAGGAAGCAAGGATTATTAAACAATATCATGTGTGGAGTTTGTATTGTCTACAACCTATATTTGATTGATATTGAAGAAAATTACAATACTAGGAAAATAGAACGTGATAGGAAAGGAAAACAATAGGAAAGTAACATGATAGGAACTGAAAGTGACTATTAAAAACTATCTATCCACAAACAACATTTATATCATTTATCCTCATTTTCTACAGTGTACTGGGCATCTGCCTTCTCTCATTTCTGCTTCTTCTAAGCATAATGCGTAATTAGGGAATCTTAGGAGTGTTTCATAAGAAAAAATGCATTTACTAATCACATTGAAAATCCGATTTTTTTTCCTAAGCAACAGAGTTATGAAACAACCAGAATCTTCACTGCATGATTCTCTCTGAACTCTCAATATTTTATTGTGGCTTCAAACTCTTAAAAAGTTATTTGAGAAACATTTTTGGAGGCCTCTGCAGATAGCTCTTTGTAGAAAAGAATAATAATTCAGTAACAAATGAAGATTGCCACTGATCATCATGGATGATCGTATCTATCACCGGGAGAGACGATCAAAACCAGCCAATATCCCATACCTTTTAGGTGACAGCATACCACTAGTTGTTTTAGCTGATTTTGTTCTTCCATGTTAAGCAACTGCTAGCTTATATTATTGGGCTTCTTGTGGATAGAGAAAGGAGTACCAAACCGACCATGTATGGTTTGTCTTGAATACTGTGCCAATCAAGGCATGTAGAATCCATGCCCTTTATGATGGTGGCTGGTCACTAGACATTTCAATGCTGTCTAGGTTGCCAAAGCATTTACAGAATTGTGCCTATTTGAGTGTTTTTGCATGTGCATGCTTGCGCGCACTTGTGTACGTGTATGTGTGAGAGAGAGTATTAACTAGCAAACACAATGGTCAGTGGTCTGCCGAAATTGCCAATACTCTGGGGATGCTGTTGTGTAGTGCTATTTATGGCCTTTGAATAATGATTTGCAGAGGATGAGGATGATTTTTACTGCAAATTCTTTGCCTTCGCAATTTATGCCCTGTAGCATAGTGGGCAAAATATTATGGCTTGAAATACTTCCCCGTGACGTACTGTCATTAATTTAAGTAGTCAATATGAGAATTTCTGGTATTTTCGTTGTGTATGATACACAAATAACCCATCCTACAATGTTTATTATGCTTGAACACTTTTTTTTTCCCCACCACGAAACTTGCTAAATGTAACTCTTGAACTTTGTTCTACTTGTGTCCCATACCCAATTTTGGACTGCAGGTTTCAGAATTTAGGTGAGATGATGACTCTTGGGATGAATGATGCGGCTATTTCACCTAGTTTTATTGAGGGATTAACCCTGGAGGGTCCTGTCGGTCACACTGGTAAAACCAGCCTTCTTGTGTTGATTATTTGAAGTCCTTATTTTCTCCATTTTTGGCTTAATTTTATATCATTTTGTGGTGTGGCTCCTATTGCAGCACGGAAAATAGCATACCTGATACGATTACCGACTGATGAGCACAGGTTAAAAGTGGGGATTAGTTGGCTTACGAAGTCTGCCATAGATTCAGTCGCTTCATTGCAGACTACTCTTACGAAAGTTCTTTCAGGCTCTTAGAGATCAGATGGTCCGTGTGTTGGTGGGGAGAGTGAATGTGTGTTATTTTTCAACATGCATAGCATGTAAATTTTGACTGGCTACTTTGTCGAAATCTTGGAATAGTTGTTCAATGTAGTCAGGTGATGCTTCATAACAACATGATAAATTGAGCACTTCACTTCATTTTCAACTAATGAAGTGTGATGAATTCAAATTCATATTATATGGATGATGTTTATGAGGCTTTTGCAATTTGAATTAGTTTGATTATTTCAGACAAAAAATAATACTAGAAAAGATTGAAACTCTCATAAGTTGTGGATATCGAAATACATTCCTTAATGAGTGTCCAAAGGACCAATTAAAAGCGCCTAAAAATAGGTAATGTCATTTATTAATGCTCTTGTATTATATTAGATAGTTTAGGTTTTTGGATTTAAAATCTTAAGCCGTTTGTGAGCAATGTGTATTTTAGGTACATACCCCAAAAAATGTGCATTATTGGAAATTTCTTTTGGAGTATTTACCATTGGAAAATGTTATTTGGACCTAAAAATCAGACATAATTTGTTGAGCTAATGATGTGGCTTCATTGGAACCATTGGATTAACACAAAATTCTAATATTTGATGGAGTCAACAGTCAATCCAAAGGTCATAGTGAATTAGGCTCCAATAGCATTGCTCTTACCATTGGGGGTAATTTTTAGTTATTTTTCAGTAGTGTTTTGCCCTCGTTGAACCAGATTATTTATTTATTTTTATTGTTTGATGAAGTGTGTTGTGTCTAAACGTGTTTTGGATCGAATACTTCTGATACAAAAATACTTTCAGCAATTTCATGCAAAAGTGCCGAGTGGCAAACAACATTCTTATTCAGATATGTGTAGCTATAGGATATGCAAGGAAAAACACTTGTACACGATTACATTACCTTGGGTCAAAAAAATGAAAGGAAAATCAACCAGTCTCTCTACATGAATGAATCATATATTTACCTCATACAATAGCAGTTAAATGGGTTTATGATAAAATTGAGTTATATTTTCTTCATACAATAGCAGTTAAATGGGTTTATGATAAAATTGAGTTATTTGAGTTTTACACCAACTTGTCTATTATTCGCTTTAGCAGGTTGTGTCATTTTTAGGATCATTTGAGAACTAGGTAGCCCTAACCCTTTAATTTTTGGGGAAGAGACCTTTAATATATGTGTAGGGTAAACTATAGTTTGACCTTTATAAACTATGGACTCGATTTTATTTTACTTTTTGAGCTATTGAATTTTCCACGTTGTCTGTCCAAGCCTCAACTACATGAATTATTTCACATTATTCTAATTATAAATGCCTGTTATTTTTTTGGAGAAATCGGAACAAAGTAAAAAACAAAATTACGTAATTTGAGGGGCAAAACAAATAAAATTTCATCAAATAGGTAATGGATGTTATATAAAACTAATCACATAGTTGATGACACAACGTGAAAAATAGGATAGTTTGGGGGGAGAATCTATAAAAATGTCATATTTGAGGGGTCAAAGTGCAATTTGCCTTGTATGTTTACCGTATGCAAAGAAAAAGAAGGAAAGGAACTGTTGGTAGCCCTCCATTTGATGTTTTCACACTATTCCTTATACATTTTCACATTTATATCAATATTACTTTAAAATATTAATATATCTGAATTTTTTTTTCATCTTTACCCTCCAACAATGCAAGTATGCAATTCTTTTCCTTCAAAATTAATGGCATACAAAACCTAAATCATCACCTTTACGCTACTACTTTCCAATTTTTCTTCCGTTACAACACTTATCCCTCCCTCCCCCACGTATTCATCACTCGGTCAAGAACAAATAGCCGCGCTCCTTTTCTTCCCCCTCTCCCTCCCTCTCCCTCTGTCTCTCTTTAATTTTATCTTAGCGGCTCTACAGATTTCTGGCCTTCTCTCTACAAGTCAAGTAAGCCATTCTCTAAGACTTCAATTACAACCCCTCATAAAATCATAGAAGACCCGTTCCATTTGAGACGGTTGGATTTGGGGGCTTCTACCTCTTCCACTGCTCATCAAAATAAAATTTAATGCCCCCACTTCTCATTCATTATGACGAAACTAAATATTGAGACTTCATCGTAAATTGCTGCCCCTTTCTCCCTCCACCAACAATTGTATCTCTATGCACCAGTTGTGTTTTCCTCTTTTGTCAATATTGGAATTCAAAAGTCTTTCATGATCAATGAAAAAAGTATATTACTACATATCTACGCTTATGGAAGGAAGCTTGTGATGGTGTTCAATCAAAGAGCAAGAGAGATGGAATAACAAGTAGAGCAAAAAAAATTGTTCTCATGGAGAAGATCGCAAATGACCGCTAGGTTCATAATCTCTCTAACTCAATAGATAATATATGAAGAAGAAGAAGACTAGCAAACAAACTTGATTCTCATTGCCTTCCAAAAGTGTGATTACATCTACTATTTATACACATAGCTAGCTCAGATCTAGGGTCAATAGTTAGTTACAATTGGCACCACAGTTAGTTGTCACAAATTCTATAATTAATTTAGTTGTTATGGCACTTGACTTGTTACAGACTAGAGCAGTGGCAGTATTTTGAAGCTTGCTACTGATGTGCTTCAGTGTTGATGTAGTTGTAGAGACCTGTTTATACACCATTATTATTGCTTGAGGAGATCTATTATTACTAAGCTAAACTGAGGCATCTGTTGTGCTAATACTGCCCCTCAAACGATTGGGGGGGGGGGGGGGGACACCAAGCATGAGTTTGTCACATAAGAGAAGAAACCTAGCAGAAGAGAGGCATTTAGTGAAGACATTAGCTAGTTGATCAGTACTGGATACATAATGAACCTCCAAATCTTTCCTAGTCGCTTTCTCTCTAATAAAATGATAGTAAATCTCAATGTGCTCAGTTCTAGCATGGAACAATGAGGAAACCCTTACATTTGAAGCATAAACAAGAAGAAAATCTCTCTACAATACCCAAAGCAAGTCCTTCAAAGTCCTAGCTCTAACATCCTTGATTTTTGAATGTTATGGAAAATAGTCGTTGTTGGCATTGACGTGTTGCCCTCGTCGAGTACAACACCTCTAATTCTTGATTGTTCGAATTCTAACAATCAGATCAATAATGATGAAAGGAAGAAGAAAGAGAAGCTTGAAGAACTCTCTCTCCCTCTCTAATGAAAATGTGAGGCAAATGTGAAAAAAATCTGATTTTTTCTCCATTATATACTCTTCCATACTTGTGCCACATGTCACCTTTTGGTTGGTTGAAAATCATAGAGAGCCAATCACAATGTTACACATGTCCAATTGGATAATATTCTCAAAATATTAAGATCATTTATATTGTGGGTTATGCGAATAAAACTAGTCATTTATATTGTGGGTCCTGCGAATAAAACTAAGTTTCTGGAATTTAATCCATGTCACCCGATTACACGTTTTGTCTCGTTTTACGTGAAAATTCTGACTGTTTTAGAATTTAATGAAATTTGACAAGCTAACTCCATTTCGTGAGAAGAATCCAACTGTGAGGTCTGTTTCTTCATCCGAGTTATAAAAAAATTTAAAATTTTAAACCGTACTTAATGACTTAGTTACCGTATTACTCTTTTAATTAAGATTTTAATTTTTTTTTCCAGGCTTTACACTCTTCCCTCCTTAAAGGAATTTCGTTCACAAAATTACACACATTCAACACATAAGAAAAATGCACAGGTAATCATGTTGTATGCCAATAACATTAAATTGTATCTTCATCTTTCTATATAAATGAGTAGGTAGCTTATAAAGTGTCCTCGCGCTCCCATGCAGACTCCTCAATATCCTGGTGTTTCCATAGCACTATAACCAACCTCATAGCCTTGTCACACAAAATCTAGTTTCGGTTATTCAAAATATGAACTGGTCCCTCCTCGAATGTCCCATATACGTCAATCACTAGTTCACCCCAATCTACCGTGTGTGTAGGATCTAGAGTGTATTGTCAAAGCATAAAAACATGGAACACGCTGTGAACACTAGACAAATTTGACAACTGCCTTGATTCCTCATTCCATTGCCTTGATTGTCCCTCTTTCCAAAATAGGACCATTACTCTCTTAGGTATAACCTTTAAGAAGACAGGATCACCCACCTCAAACTCTCGAGGTCTCCACTGTTGATTGGCATAACTTTTCTACTAGCTTTGACCTGTGAGAAGACGCTTTCGTATACTAGCCACCTTCTAATAGGTGTCCCTAATCAAGTTCGGACCCATGGAAGGTGCTTCTCCCATTTTCGTCCAACAAATTGGAAAATTACATGGTCTCCCATACAAAGCCTCTTAGGGCGCTATCTGTATGCTTGCTTGATAACTGTTGTTATAGAAAAAATTCATTAGGGGCAAGTGATCCTCCCAACTGCCATTAAAATCAAGGACACATGTTCGAAGCATGTCTATATCATCCTCTTTGATTGGCCATTCGTCTATGGATGAAAATATATGCTCAACATCAACTGCATGCCCATAGCTTGCTAAAAGATCTCTCAAAATTGAGTCATAAACTGGGGATTCGAATCCGATACTATAGAAATGGGTACCCCATGTAACCGGACAATCTCCCAAATGTATAGCCAACTGAATTCCTCCAATGTGAAGGTCATATATACAACTAAGAAATGGGCCGACTTAGTAAGCCGATTTGTTATAACCCAAACCGCTTCATGTTCCCGTGTAGATGAAATTCCCAAAATAAGAGAAATGAAACTCTCGAAGTATGTCCTCCCTCAATTCAATGTAATGAGGAATAAGAACCCTACCTTTATATTGTAGATTACCATCGGAATGGTGAGTCCAATCCTTGTCACCTAATCCCGATTGGATATTGTCCCTGATGGACACTACCTCAAAATCCTGTCTCTAAGCCTTAATCACTCGGCTGAGTAGAGACAAAGTGGCAATAAAACTGCCCATAATACCTTGAGCCTGATCTTGATAGTTCATTAACC